CTCTTCCTCCATCTTCAGACCACGGACCCCTCAAACATTTCCCACCCCAATTCCTCCTCCTCCTCTTCTTCATCTTCATCCTCCTCCATCTTCAGACCATGGACCCCTCAAACATCTCCCACCCCAATTCCTCCTCCTCATCTTCATCATCATCATCCTCCTCCTCTTCCTCCAACCTCTCCCCACCCTCCTCCTCCTCTTCCTCCATCTTCAGACCACGGGCCCCTCCAACCCTGATTCCTCCTCTTCCTCCTCTTCATCATTTTCATCATCTTCCTCCTCCTCCATCACCTTCAGACCACGGACCCCTCAAACAGCTCCCACCCCAATTCCTCCTCCTCCTCTTCTTCATCTTCATCCTCCTCCTCCATCTTCAGACCATGGACCCCTCAAACATCTCCCACCCTAATTCTTCCTCCTCATCTTCATCATCTTCATCCTCCTCCTCCATCTTCAGACCATGGACCCCTCAAACATCTCCCACCCTAATTCTTCCTCCTCATCTTCATCATCTTCATCCTCCTCCTCCATCTTCAGACCATGGACCCCTCAAACATCTCCCACCCTAATTCTTCCTCCTCATCTTCATCATCATCAGCCTCCTCCTCTTCCTCCAGCCTCTCCCCACCCTCCTCCTCCTCCTCCTCCTCCTGGATGTCCCCGGTGTCCCCAGCCCCACCTGTGACGGCGCAGGTGAGGATGAGGAGGGTCTGGCGCGTCCCCCCGGCCATGGCCGCGTGCCGCCGGTGTCTGGGCGCGAGCCACCGGTGCCGGGGACATTTCAGGGGGTGGGGATGACACGGGGGGTGGCACCGGACCTTTGTCCCCAGGGCTGGCGCGGGAGGGGGGTGGACAGGCGGTGACACCGCAGGGTGACACAGACGCCGGAGAATGCGGTGGCCGCGCCCCGGGCTTGGAGCTTCCTTCACCCAACGCTGTCACCTGAGGGGTGGCACGGCGGGGACAGCGGGGGGACATGCGGGGACACTGGGGACACTGGGGGGACATTGGGGGACACTGGGGGGACATGGGGGGGACATTGGGGGGACAGGGGGGGGCA